TCTAAATTTTTTTTTTAGTGTGTGGTTTCCGAGCTGTTATGGTGGCAACACGTGGTCCAGGAAGTCGTTAATATCACCTTGTTCTGGTTGCTTTGGTTCTTTTTTCTCTATAGTTGGTGATGTCTATTCTGCCCGATAGGATATTTCACTGATATATAGCTTTGTTTATTTGTTGTAAAACTCAAAGCTAAACAATGGATTATGTGTGTTATGCTCAACACGGGTATCGAAACCCGGTTTTTAGAATTATAAGCCTTCAGACTTATTGCTGAGCCAGTGGGAGGAGGGGGCAAGATAATAAAGCACCTGGATTAAATAAATTGGCACTGTAAGATCCTTTCTGGCTAATTATGACGTTGACTAAACATAACAGCCGATCAATGTTGTGAAAAAACAAAGGTCACATGATGACGCTGTCAGTTGGACAAAGAAAGCGAGTTTAACTGTTGAATTCAAATGCGTTTTCTTTAGCCAGTTTTCTACTAGGGGATGGTCAGTTGAAGAGCAATGTATTTTAGTTCTACTGTCATTTTGTTTGCTTAGGTATGCACACAGTGTTTTCCGTTTATCTTTTATAATAAAGATGTGTTCATTTATTCACATTAGTCAGAGCTATCTATTGCAGAACGCCCCCACTCATTTCTTCATCGAATTTGTTGATATTTGCAGGTTTATTTATCTGATACTTGTAGGGAAATCGATTGTTTAAAATACTCACATCCTAGTCTAAGTTAAGTCAAAGGGAAGAAACTGGATGAAAGGGAGTGACAAATTTATGCACTTGCTAATTACGCCTAGTAATATAATCCAGTTTTAATCTAAATCAACGCCTTAAGTCCTATATTATAAGTATTATGTGAATTAGCACCTGTGAATGTAAAATCCATCAGGCTTCTTAAAGTCAGCACCTGAGATAATTGTGCTCCATGTTGAGCATATGCTGACGTCACAGAAATCCTTTCAGTCCTGTCCATCTGTCTTCTCAGCAAAACTGTCGTAGCAGGTCCACTGTGGGAGTAAAGACTGCAAACTGGTTCCTTATGTCTGTGAATGAAATTGCCCCCAATCCAGTGGGCCAAGCAAGTCACACAACATTCAAACTCCAATTTGCTTCCTGGCAGAAGTTAAACATAATCTGAAGAAATAAGTAAAAATCACATATGATTTTACATATATAAATCCAGTGTTAAATTCATGTAGTCTCAAGTATATATTGCTTTAAAATTCTGAAGATCAGTAGCTGCATCACAGTTTTGCTACTGTATCCCTATGGTTCATAACAATGGTACAACGGTCCATCCTGCACTCATAACTGACTACACTAATTTCCGATATTGCATATATTAGTACTACATTCACCAGTTTATGATGGTCATAATTTATCTTGCTGCATTGAAAGAATGCCCATTTATGTCTAGATCCTTAAGTTGCTATTCTAGAAGTTCCTGACTGATCATTCACACTGTCTATCAAAGTACAGAATTGTCACTGATTGTATAGTTCGTTGTTACTGCTGTTGCGGTGGCTATGACTGCTGCACATTCAACAAAAGTGAGCTCGATTTCCCTGGCTGTCAAGATATTCTAATGATGTTTCCATTTTACTGATCCATACAGTGTTGTATCATGAAGTTGTACTCTTGTCACTATCCAAACTTTTGCATTTTTGAAGTTTATTAGCCATTTCATTGACACAATGTCAACTTGAATGGTTAAATTATTATTATAACAGTAGTTTCAGTAACATTTGGAAAATACTTCAACAGCAAACAGTTCTGCCTTGGTACAATGTAAGTGATCAGGAGCAGTCAGTGTATAGTTCGCATACACGATTGATCCCTTCATAGCATTCTGTACCTGTGACAAAAGTACTCCAGTTCCGTTATCAGTGATGTCTGTATCCAGGAGAAATAGACAAATGATTGGAAGATGAAAGGAACCGACACACAAACAGCATTCAACCATGTAAAATTCACACAGAACTTTTTATTTATTTATTTCAGAAACTATGACTAGAAATGACCAAGCTCTCTGAAGGTTGTATTATCCCATCCTTTACCATCCACTCAGCTTCAGTGCTGGAAATATTCCTGGAGCTCCAGTGGAACTTGACACTTTATTTTATCAGTTGCATGGTACCTGATTATATGGTTGTGTGTGATTGTTGTTCTACTCAATCGGGAATCTGCTCCCACAAGAACATTACCTAATTCTCTAAATTTTTACTTAGTTTATATGTTTTGTAGAATTCAATGTAATCCCAGGGCAATTTGCACATAAGACTTTAGTTGAGCCAATGTATCGTTTCATCTTTGGCCCAACGTAAGCATCCACTTTTTTAAATGGTGGCCCAATACTCTGGTAACATCAATCCAAGACATTATATAATACTTGATTAACATATAAACTCATTTATTAACGTTAGATAAGCAATTATTTTCAAAGGAATGTAGATCTGTGAATTTAAAGAGATTTATAAAAAAATGTATATTTCGTCTTGTTCTTCTATCGTTGTTATGACAGCGGAAATCGCGCGACGCTGGGAGCATGCGCTGGAGTTCTAGAAAGGTCGAGGAACCTGTCGAACGTCCTAGCGTTTGCCAGACGCGCACTCTTATTGTATATAAGCTGGCAAATAAAGTGACGGCAAAAATAATTGCAGACAGGCAGAGACAAACAATTGAATCAAGTGCGATAGTGACCGTAAGTAAAGTGCGTGAATCGTTGTGAATTATAGCGTGTGTTTAAGTTAAAGAGACTGTGGTAATTAAGTGTATTGCAAAGTTGTATTGAGGGAAAATAAACTAGTTTTCTTTAAGAAAGAACTTGTATCGCTAAAGTTTCATCCGAAAGAAATTATAGGGGAAATTAACAAACGACCAGAGAAGTAACATCATTATCGTTAAAAATGATTTCATCCTATTATATGACACACTAGCATAAAACAAAAATAAGAGAATTTAGAAAAATTACTGATGCGATTTGAAACATGAGTAATAAGGTCATTAATTTAAACCTCCCAGTTGTTCTAGAATACAATTAATCAACACTTCTCGCATACAGTTTATTGTAGAGGTCACTGGTTTGCATCACTCCAATGCCTTTTGTCAACCGACATGCATATGCCAACTTTTAGCTCAATGAACTTGCACTACTACCGACTGATGATATTTGTATGTTTTATTATGCTAAATTAACAGACGGACTGGGGTCACAGATTGTGTACAGTAGCAGTTAATGTACGAGGTTAAGATCACAATGATTAGACATCTTATCATTATAACAGACACGAGTTGGCCCTAAGGTAGAACTCTGAATTTTGGAACTGGCGAGCCTGGTTCGTATCCATGCGATACCACAAAATATTTCCCAAAGTCTAGGTTTGTGGATGTATTATAAGGGGTAGGTTCAACGTCCAGTATATATTCCGTCTGACAAGAGTAGCCCTCTATTAGTTTTACCCAAAATTCAACACAAAAAATACTGGGTAATATGTTATTTACATTTTATAAAATGGTAACATTATATAAATGTTTAGAAAATCATGCAGTACCAAACAAAAAAAGGATCATGTATTGGTCCAAGGTTGTGCCAACAGTCAAAAGTGGATAATTATTTTGGACTATTGTTGGCTCTAGTCGTTTAGCCAAGGTTGGGCCAATGAACAAAAACTGTTGGCTCAACATAATGGTACACTTTGGTCAAATATTGATTCAACATGTATTTGCTAATTGGGAGGAGGTTTAACATTGGGAGTAGGGGGAGCAACATTGAGTGGCCTGACGTGACACACCTTTAGCATACACACACACACTTGCTGCCACAACATACCCATGAAGACTGACAGCCAGCGAATGGCATGGTCTCTCCTACGTCATAGAAACTATACTTTTTTTATATAACTCCAAAGGCATCACACAACCAGACCACTTTCTCTCCCAGAAACAATTTTCCCAATACTTTGAATCAGAATCCTTTATTAGCTAACAGTATTCTAAGTGAGGCATAACTAGTATTTGTAAAAGGATAATTACCTCATTTGACTTCCAATCAATATATTTATTAACACATCATCAAATTCCATTTGCTTTAACTTCCCTTAAAACCCTGTGAAAACTTTGCCTGATCCTATTTTTTTATCTTTTTAATTTTTGTTAGTTTGTTATTAAGTACCAAATTAGAAAATTAACTATCTGTGTTTTGTCTACCGCGGGTATCGAATGGTTTGTTTTATTTTGAATTTCGCACAAAGCTACTCGAGGGCTATCTGCGATAGCCATGCTTACTTTAGTAGTGATAGGCAACTAAAAACCACCATTCACCTCCAACTCCTGGTCTATCTTTTACCAATGAATAGTGAGATTGACCATCATTTTATAATGCCTCCACATCTGAAAGGGTGAGTATGTTCGGTGACGGGGATTGGAACTCGCGATCCACAAACTGCGAGTCGAGTGCCCTAATAACCAGGCCTGCGGGTATCGAAATCGATTTTATCTTTATAAGTCGTAAGACTTTTCTCTGAGTCACAGGGGGCTCTATTTTCAATCATTCTACTTTTACCATGAAGTTTGTTTGTTCATAGTTAAGCACAAAGCTACACAATGGGCTATTTGTACTTCTCCCAGTGGCACAATGGACTTACAACGCTAGAAACCGGGTTTCGATACCTGTGGTGGGCAGAGCACAGATAGCCCATTGTGTAGTTTTGTGCTTAACTTCAAAACAAACAAACTATTGTACTGTGTCCACCACGGGTATCGAAACCCAGTTTTACCATCAAGAAATTATAAAATTCTATGTCTGAAAATATTTTGCGAAGAACGTAATTTAATAATTATTCCATTTTTTTGTGTATAAGGTGCTAATTTTGCACATTAAAAATTGTTATCTTAACTTTAATATACTATAATATTTTTGCATCGCATATTAAACAAATTTTTAAAAAATAATAAAATAGTGATTTTCATATATACCCCCGACAGATGGATTTTTGTGGTCTCACGTTTATATCCAAATTCGAGGTGGCAAAGACTATTAAGAAATGTGAACTATAACTTTAGTGGAAATTGTGATGAGGCTTATCGTTTTAAACAATAACACTACATTTATAACATAAAAATGTCCCAGAATTTAACATATGAAAAAAGTAGTACAAATACTCGTAAGATTATTCAAGAAGGTGACTTCATTATTATTAGACGACAAGATGCATCGCGACTTGTGCAAGTGGATAAGTACAAGTGAGTACTTAACGGTGTTATGAGTAATTAACTTTGACTGAACTAAAGTAGGGTAGTTCACCTAGTTATTAATTGTATGGCAAGTGATAGCATATTTTTATTTAAATGTTTAAACCCATAGTGTCTGTTAGTGTTACATTTACAATTTACATAGTAAATTGAAAACAGCTACGTTAAAATTCAGACTTTGACTCACGCTCTACGAGTTTTATCACTTAGTTTATTTTTAACTTTAAGATTTTAAGCTATTTATTACTACTAGTAGTA